TAGAGGTTTTTGCGACATTTTATATTTAGCTATGCCGATTATACGGTACCACCGGGTGGCCCACTCAAGACTATCTGCCCTCAATAACCTTCAGAAAAAATACTAACACAAAATCGTCATGTTTCTGTGATTTACTATGAAATCATTTTTTCTGACAGTTATTGAGGGTAAGTAGATAGTGATTACTGGACTACTCAGTATGAAAAGTATGTTTTCAAATTTTGGACAACTTGCCCAGTGTATATTCCGACCTGCCGTATGTCATTATTTGTACGTTGGTCTACACATCAAAACAACTCCATTTGTTTACGATGTTTCGCGATCATATGGAGGGCTCGCTGTGAAAAAAACAGGAACCTCATCCAGATAGTAGTAAACAAGTACCTAATTATGAAACTATTCGCAGTGGGAGTTGTTTCGACATTCTAGATATCATACGAGATATTTATTCGAAGTATTTTTAGACTTGCCGACTCCGTATCAGACTATGAAGAATACGAACAAAACAAACAATACCAATGCACTTTGAAATGACTCTCAGAAATCCAACCCACGGGTTCCGTGAACCAAGAATGTCGAAGAGCGAGTTGAAAAGTCTATTGTTGGATGAAGTCGGATTAGTTCCGGTAAACTGGTAAACACCTACGTATAAATACAGAGACCAATATATCATCAATTAAATATTTACAGCCTCTTTCGTAGAAACAAAATAACAACATAAAAGTAGTCGGTACCACTAATTATTGTTATGATCGTTCTCGTAATTATAGAAACAATCAGCAGCAATTATAAAAGGAAAACAAGATTTTAAATTGAATCAATGATGTTGTAAAATGTAATAGCTGCGAGATTTGATAATAATGTATAGTACTGATCGAATCCACAATCCACCTAGTCCTGAGATAAACATATTTTGAAATAATCCGCTTGAAATACAAATCTATGTACTGGGTAACATGTTTTCCCCAACTCTCTTGCGTGGGTAAATAAAAATAAAGATTACGTAATGATGATAATAATTATTATTATTATTATGGATCAACACTGTTGATCCAAAGATTTTCATCCCCTACACCAGGGGGATAGTGGAGCTCAGAGCTCAGACTCATCGTGTTAGTAGTGATCTACCTCAGAAAACTTAGGCAACTAGTGATGGAGCGTCTACCTATAGGTACCTCCAATAGTTCTAAAGATAACACATTTCGAAAAATACTTTGCTTAATATATAAGGTAGAAAATGAAGTTCAATTAATTTAATCTTGAAATTGATGCATGGCACCGCAAATCAGACGCGTACTTTTCACAGGATGGCACGTAATTACTGAGAAAATGGAAAGTTCATGAAAGTGATAACATTTTTCAGTTTATCGAGATCATAAAAACGCCTTCTCAAATTGACCATCAAGAATGTTTATTAACTCGTTGGAAGCACAGTATAATATACTGTGTTGGAAGGTTCAGGCACGGGTGGAAATCACAATCTTTGCGACAATATTTCTTGACGTCCGCCATATTCAGTATTTTTTAACAAAGCACCTGCTAAAGATTGATGATAGATTGATGCGATGCAACGGGATTAACGATGGGATATCTGGATAAAAAGCAACAAATCCATATTTATCGCCATTTATTGATGGTATTCCATGTGTTATGGGCACACGAGTGACAGATATTACTGAAATCTGCATCTTTAACAACAATATAACCTCCCAGAATGTTAAGTTGATGTTATATTGTTGTATAAGATGATGACAGGCTGGCTAGTAACGTAAGTATATATATAGGTGAATTTATTAAAAAAATTTGTATATCTATCGCTACTACAAAGTTGGGAACCAACTCCCCAGAAGTCGAAACTTGTGCGGGGTTAGGAAGAGCGGGACCTACAGCTTTTAGCGGAATTCGAACCACTTCTAGGGCATCGAGGTGCTGCCAGGATTACAAACATCATGAATTACACATTTTGAAGAAAAATGCTCAGCCGATCGTCGGATTCGAACCGACAGTACGTTAACAAAATATCATGACATTCTACGTCTTGCAGAGTTACAAATTCAAAACAAAACATACACAATACAAGAAAAACGAGCAAACTACTAACATATGGTAATCTGTGGCAACTCTGCAATAAATTCGTTCAAGTACCTAGTTATATACCAAAGATTACAGAAAATTCCTAGGAAAATTCCTAAATTCAGTGCATGGGCGTCGCTACTGCAGGGCAAGAAGGGTCGTTGCTTTTGGCTCTTGATTGTTAAAAACTATATTTATTTACAGAGTACACAAAAAACATCCAGTGCTATAACTTCTGAATCAAATTCGAGATAGGATTCTGAAATTTGGTGGGTAGCATCAAAGATGTAGTTTCCCATATCCACTTTGAAAAACCCAACCATCAACTTCAAGGCATTTGACCTCTGGACAAAAAAATAGCATGCAGCGCATGTTTCAGTTGTTTCTGGATTATCCAGTTTATTAACCAGCCCCCCTGGAAATTTTTTTGGCCACGCCCATGATTAAGTGTCACTATCGCCAGACATTGCGAATATTGCCATATAATCAATAGACCTCTCTGATCGACACTAATAATGATACTACTAGAAAAAAATGTCTAGGCCTTTGATTGTCTACTGTCTACAAAAATAATTGAACTTGATACCTTTGTCATTCGATACCTATGTTATTAATGAAATATTAAAATTTTCACAAATACCAAAGCAGATTTACTATAACTAGTGCACATTTTGTAAACTACTGTTTATTTATCCGTATCCATATCAGTGGCGTAACTAAAATTTTTTGGCCCCAACGCAAAATACATAAGGAGGCCCCCCATTCAGTATCTCGCTTGGAGAGAGAGAGAAAATCTTTAATGGGGTCGTACTCCAGAAGGCCATTGACCGAAGTCTTTTAGCCGCTTGCTTGGATTTTTTCTATTTTTGGGGTGAAAATGGGGTGAAATTGGCGACAAAATCATGGGACGATATGAATTCAATGGATGTTATGCCTTTTGTATTTTCTGAAAAAAAAGAACAGCAACATATTTTTCCCATTGAAAATGACAGATTTCAATTTTTTTTTCGATTTTTGGGATGAAAATTGGGCAAAATGCTACTGCTACGCGTCTTTATTGATGAAAACCCCTGTAGCCAGCTATTTCATTTTTAAAATGCAAATCATTACTCCACGGCCTGCTTCACCGGATCTCCCGTCTTGCTGGCTTCACACCGGTAGATACACCCTGACAATAAGGAAGTGTCCTATATTGAGGTTTTTATCTCACTGTGAAGTTTGTAAAAAATTAATATATACGTATTTTTCTTTTTTTCGTAAGATCAAATTTCACCTCAGAGAAAAATTAATAAAAGAGGAACTTGGCTCCTCCACCATTCCCTATGACTAAAGCGGCGTTCACAACCGAACTTTTTACGTTTTTTTTTTACGTTTCGTATTCTGATTGGTGAAGCAGAATCTGAGATTAAACGTGAATTAAACTTATGCAAATGTCATTCACAACAAAACGTGACTTCTTTCCGCTTTTCTCAGTTGCCTTGATTTTGTCATTTGTGTTTCATCCTGAAATGAAGTGAAATAACCATAACAATAATATTGATTAGATAATTAATGATGTTCGTAGAGCTGGCGGTGACGTAAATTGATCCTTATTCAATACATGAAGAGAAAAATCAATCCTCAAGAAGAAAATAATAATTTGAACAGTATACCTATCTACTATTCCGTGGATTCAAGAAAGAATCATGAGCAAAAACATTATCATAACTTTCATAAAGAATGTTCAATACATGTATATTCTTCTGTAGTATTTTCCAATTTTATAACAATATCATTTGTCTATTGTTACTATTTTCACAGACGATGGCTTCTTGCAACGCAAAAAGCTGAATATTTTCAGCTTTTTGCGTCATTTCAATTACATATTTTGCTTCACCAATCAGAATGCGAAACGTAAAAAGCGAAACGTAAAAAGCAAAACGTAAAAAGTTTGGTTGTGAACGCCGCTTAACTGTCTGAAAATCCACATTCACACAGAGTGTAATTACGATTTCCTGTGCCACTACGACGTTGCCGACATCATCAATATGTCTAGATTTCCGGAAATTGTTCTTTGAATGCATAATAACTATATCATAACAGCAATGGGATATAATAGGTTCTTCGATCCTACTTTGTCAAGTATTATGAATAATTCCCATAAATCTCTCATTGGCTGAATGAAGTTGATTACTAATAAAGATAAATTATGATATTTTGCCATAGTATCTATAATTTTTCACTATCGTTATATTACAATATGTTATTCATAACTTGTCAGTCTTTTTTCTGCTAATGAATTCGTTCCTTGATGGAACGGATCTATTTTCTAGGAAAGTTGTAGATTATATTTTGCAACAGCGTCTAATACTTCGAGTTCGTCCACATGTTCACACCACTCAAAATACTGACAGGCACAACAAGAGGGAGGAGCCATAAGTGTCAGCTTCATTCTGTTCTGACCGATGGCAGTAAATTAGGAAGCATAGTATCATTGAGGCGATAGTGATTCATTGATTTAATGATATTTTCGTTTAGGATCGAGCTCTATTCGATATATTTCAATGCATAAATAACAAAACCATAACCTGTCAGAATGAAGCCAACTACCCTGTGCATTCCTGCTACGAGTGCATTTATGTTTTTTTATATCAGTTTTACTTCTTCTTCTATTTTTTTCATTCGTTAGCTATTCGTAAGCTATTCGCTAGCTATATTCTTCACCATCAGCTATTTTAAACGTCACAGTTTGCCACCTCGAAAATTAGAAATTGTTTTAATTTGAAAATGAAAACGACTAGAACTTAATCGGTCGTCATTCTGTACAGCGTAGACATAAAACTGGAGAGTTCCGAACTAATTTTATGAAAAATCATCTGAAGGAAACTTCCCCATGGGGGCAACTCTATTCATCCCCGGTCTATCCGAGTTAGTTGAATCGAACTTACCCCTACTAACTTCCTTGGACAGCTGTTGAGGCATGTCTTGTTTCTTCCGAAACCAATACTGTAATTGTGGCAAACGGTGCAAATCTTTGGATCACGATCGCTGCATGCCAAGCAAGAGCCGTCGCAACATTGTCCTCGGTTGTTGCAGGCCATGCAATTGAGCGGGCAAATCTTCTGGCAGTGGTCCTTGTTCCAGCACAGATGTCTGGCATTAATGTAATTGTCACTGTCAATCCTAGATGCTCTGGGGCAAGAAACGCTAATACTATGGCTATCACTGGTCCTTCCGTAGATGGAAGAGGGGCAAATGGGACACTCGTTGGCGGGTTTGAGGCTCTTGACGAACTTCTTCGCCGTCTTGTCTTTGACGATGCTGTCCCAGTCTATGGTGTGCACGAAACACAGAGACGGATTCTTGTCGATTCGGATAGATCCCCGGGTGATGACGGATAGGGAATAGAGACCGATCTCTTGTAGAGTTGACATTTCGAATATCACAAACGCATTATCGAGAAACGTATTTTGGCCGCGGATCACGGATAAATTCGGGAAAAGTTGTCCTACGCTACGTAGTCCGTTTACCCGATACAACAACAGATAATCTGTTATTTCAGTCAGGTAGGGGAATTGCATCTCAGACAATTCAGTCTCGTTGACGCTGTCGAAAAGCAGGATTTGCAGGAAGCCTTCTATCACCTCGCAGTTTTCTAATTTCTTGAACGACTCCAGTGAATTTCTAATATCCATGCTTTCACAAACTGCAACAAAATCAAATTTGATAAATTACATAAATTGATGGTGTTACAAAAATATTAATATCTGGCTAAACGTCAATGACTACTGAGAATAGATTCCTTATCCAATATTATATATTTGTTTTCCTACGACTACTAATGTGAGTTATGAATATTGTGCTCAAAAAATTGTCAGTAACATTCTTACGCACAGCGTGAGCTGATGTTGGTACATAATAAATCGTATCAAGCTTCGAACATATTTTTAGAATTGATATTCTCGTTTATATAACCAAAAAAATTGCTTTCAGCTGTAGTGAATTTCGCAGTCTTAACAATATTTGGTTTACGTTTGGGTAAATGATGAATGTTTAATTTTCATTATTCACGTATAGGACAAAGAAGAAGTGTTACTTCTCATCAGCGGGAATCCTTATTGGACAATTGGTAAGTGTTTCTCGTACGACCCTAGCAAGTGTATTTCCCCTAAGGTTTAGAAATGTGTTCAAGACTCTTTGTCGCCGGTTCTTTGTGTGACCCCAGAGGTAGAAATCCAAAGGCGAAAGGTCAGGAGATCTAGGAGGCCAAGTAATTGGACCATTTAATGAAATAATTCTTTCATCAAACTGCGCTCTCAAACAATTCCTGACTTGAATGTTGTTGTGAGCCAAATATCCATCCTGTTGAAACCAGGTTCTTCATAACTCGTCTTCGGTTAGAGTAGCTCGTAAAGCCGGTACAACCTGGTTTCACGAAAGCTCTAGGTACCTTTCTCCGTTTAGGCTGTAGTCAAAGAAAAATTGTGTCCATTTTGAAAAAGGTAAGTCACTTTAGATTACCAATGATGCCACACCAAACGTTACTACCAAATCTGGTCTGTAGACGTCTTTCTGTGACTTCGTGAGGGTTTTCTACAGCCCAATGATGAATATTGGGCTTATTAAAAACTCGTAAATCTCCTCTCATCGGACCACAGGACATGATTCACAAAATCAGGATTCTCATTACCTCACAAAAGCGTATTCGCCTCGATATTCGTCTTGGAAAATCACGTTTTCTTAATTCCTTGAACTATTGTGGGTTTGTATGGATGGTACTCATTCTCATTTAACCCTCTCTGTACCGTTGATTTTGAAACACCAATTTCCCGTTCTACAGTTCTTACCGATGCACTAGGGTTTTCGTTGTAGGGCTTGTAAAATGATTCTGTCGCGATTTTCATTTGCAATATTGTATCTGCTTCTAGGTTGCTCGAATGGGTTTTATGAGGTTGCTGTCATTCAGAGACATCTCCAAATACCCAGCTGAGGTAATGTCGGCGTTCCTACGTGACTGCAAGTACAGTGATAACATCTCAAACTTTCCTTCATTTGAATAGGGAATACCGGCCATTTTCAACAAATTCCAAAAATGTTTGTGTCAGATTTATGATTTCAGAGAACGAAACGAAATTATTTAACGTCAAACTCAGAGCAAAGAATGTGATAAATACTCAATATTCTGACAAGTAAATCATGGCATGGAAAAAATGTAAATCTATATCTACAATGTGTGATATTCCGATGATACTCAAATCTTTTATACACTTGTCATACATCACTAGACTGGATATTTTACGTTCTTCTGAAAAATCGAAAATTCCGATATGGCGGCCATAAGAAAATTGAAAATCCCGGGTTGCGGGATAACAAAAGACGATTGAGAGATTTTATGCACGCTACCTCATTCGTCTCAAAAGAGTGTCCTAATAATGTCACATTTTGACAGCTGTCAAATCAACCATTTTCGTTTTTTCGCCGATATTTCCAAAACCAATTGACCGATCGTAAAACTGAAGTCTGGGCACACTGTAGACTGTGAATAACACACCTGATTAGTATGTTGAAATTATGATGGAAATTTACAATATTTCGCTCGTCAACTTGAGCTTTCAACCAGAGTAACTTCCCGGTCATATTATGGAGGCCGCTGAAAAGAAGAAATTCTGATGAATCAAGTTCCGACTACAGTATTGTTTATTTCTAAGCCGGTTGACCGATTATGGACCCAGTCATTCTGAACCTCTCTCTATGGATCTCACTTCAGTTACCTCCAGAATCGATGGCTATATACATATTAAATCCTTGAAAACATAACTTGCCCAATGATTTGTTGCATCCAGTGGATAATCACTATTTCGCATAGATGAAGACACCTCCCTGATTATCTCCTAATCTCTTGATGCAACATAAATAAATTTGCCAACCAGCATATGGTTGGTGAACATAACAGGATGGTAGAACAAGGACCTTCAGACCACAGAAGATACAAGGTACCTACAGTTCTGTCGAACAAACTAGCATGACTGGTGGAGAGACGTTCAACAGACCGGAACTTGTGTCTGAAACACGAAATACCTAATGGTAACGCTGAATGGAGAGGCGGATAAAAGAAAAAACCTTGCATACTGGAGCAGTGTTCCAGAGCACCAGTGGTCTGTAACTGGATCAATAACAGGTCATTGTCCCTCAATGAAATACTCAAGTATCAAATGGGCGTATTGACCTCACGAGCAGCTCCTCCAGAGGTCATGAGGCTGTTGAACCCGAGGTTGAACCTAATAGGGCTATCGAACATGTTCTTCTGAGCCAGGAACACGAAGAGTACAATGCGGTACAATGACTACAGATGCCTAGACACAAAACATGACTGATCATCCTGCATTGATCAATTCAACAACCATTAGTACATTCCTATTAGTTCAAGGCATTGCAGTATATATCTCATCCCATAGTAATTTTCAAGACAACTCAGCATGCCTGAATCCTGTTCTCATTTCGGTTTGCATGGAACATTTCCTCAGATTGAAAGAGTCGATCACTATATTTCACTACTTTCATGGAAAGAATTCAGCAGTATATTGATTTGTTTGATTTTTTTCAACATCTGAATTCGAAAGTCTTGAAGATCATCCTTTGAGAATCCTTGTGAGGCAGCAGAGCAACTGTTTCGATGAAATAAACAAGAGAGAGTAACTCGTTGGATGCATATCCCAAAAATTCTTATCTGACTATATTACAAAGTAGATTTATTTGTTTAGAAAATATTGTGGAAACAATGATAAGATCGAATCACGGAATGTTGATCAATTGGCACCACTCACATTTGTTGATTTATACACCCAGTAATCAAGTATAGCAAACATCAAACATCAACAATATACAAAGTTATATCGAGACAGTGCATGGGATGTGATGTTCTATAAATAACCTCTTAGTAGTTTCATATTTTGAAGTTTTATAAAACAGGTGTTTTCCGAGTAGATTTGTAAACATATATATATTGCAATAAAAATAAACAAGAAAAGAATAACGATAATAAACTGAGAATATGTGCAAACATGATATAAAATTGTAGGAAACTCAGTGTTTACGGGCATTTACAATCACCCACTGATCATACAAAAAACATCAAGGTACTTAAATATGTATCTGGTTATTGAACTGGGATCGCATAAATAAACAATGATGGTTTCAAATAAACATAAGAACGCAAATCTTTAGTCACGATTAAACCAGCTGATGATTATGATATGATATTGCACTGGTAACAATTTCTTCAAGATGGAGTTCAAATTCCAATAAGAGGTACGAATTTGTGAGAGTGGAATAATTCAAAATATATTGTTTATTTAGAGTATTTTTTGTTTTCATCGCCTATATCTCTAACCATAACGATGACGCTAAATGATTGACATTCACCAGGTATACAAAGTTGACGGTGAGGCCCATTAAAGATAATTAATTAATTATGTTTCTCATTACTGAAGTGCCCTTTGGCGGCCAGTCAATGAAGTACTTTCATTACAGGATTATAGAGTTTGCGAACATGAAATATTATTCAATTCAGTCCACAAATAGTCCAAATAAGGATGGAATTTAATTGAGATGATCCTGATCCAATATTTGTCCAACATAAAGGATCACATTGTGTCCCAACTCGTGACCCAAAACAATATAAAGTTCGTTAGATTATTTGTGTTTGTATTTATTTTGTTGGATTGATTGGATTTTCTTGATGTTGAAATATATAAATCATCTAATGAATCACTAATTATCATTGTTATATAAAGTGTCGAGGCGAGTGTACAAGATTATTACTGAAACGGAATTTTCTCGTTTATGGCCATTTTCAAGGATTCCCGAGATTAACTTATCATAATCACTACATTATAAATGAAGGAATTTTTTTACCAATGCGAGAGAATAAAACAGTGAATACAAGTTCTCATCAAAGCCAATGCTAGAAATCTCAAAATCGTATAATAAAAATGTCAAGAAACCCACGATCATCTCGTTTTCATACCCCTTGAGTTCAAATGGAATGAATTTGGGTGTCGAGATTTATGATGAAGCCTCTTGTATTATTCGTGGACCGCTATATACAGGGTAACACTAATGACAAAGTGTACAGACATCATGTCATTCACCTATATTTTTCGAATATTGTTCGTAGCAAGATATGCAAGATGCAAAAAATATTAAAATCCATTTCTAGGGTACGGAAATAGTCCTTTGTATTCCTTCTAAATTCAAGTTTTCCCTTCGTATATCGTATATCCTTGAACAGTTTTGTCCAGTTCTTGATGAATACTTGTAATCTTTTGAATTCTCACACGGTATATGTATAACTCAGGCAATAAATCTCGAGTGTTTTCGAGGAAGATGAAACCTGAATAGTTTGTTTGGGTGTTGATGACTCAAATGAAAAACAATCTGGGTTCGTCCTACTTGGAATGGGAAAGACAATGGTTTCATGAACTCTAAAAATCACTATTATACATCGAGTTTAGGGGTCGCCAATTTCTTGAAAATTTCAAGATCTTATTGTCTTGTGATCTTGTCTTGATCAGACAAAAAGTAATTTCAGATTTCAGGACAAGACAAGAAATGTTATGTCAATATCAAGATTTCTTGTCAAGGAAACAAGAAATCTTGAAATTTCTTGACTAAGAATGAAAAGGCTAAAACCAGGGTTGGCCGATA